CAAAAAAAAAAAAAAGAAAAAAGAAAAAATCACAGCTTCACAGAGTTAAACAAATGCAGCATAAACAAAAGTCACACACCTTAAAATAATATTCTACCACAAGAGCAACCAGAAAAGAAACAGATAACTATCCTGCCTTTAGGCCAGAGATCTATCAAGGTCCTAACTCCTGCAGCATGTGAATCTAACATGCCAACTCAGTTATGGCCAATGGACTCCAGTTTTTCCTCAGATGTCATCTAAGCACCTGCAGGGCTAGATCTAACAGTCCTTCCCAGGCAGAGCTCACACCACCTGCCATCCTGCCTCACCACAGGGGACTGGTGGCAAGCACCAGACGTGCCAAGAAAGTCTTAATTGGGAAACTAAAGAACTCATCTAAACTGCCAAAGAAGGGAAGAAAAACATAGATGCAGATAAAGTCACCATGTAGAATTCTTTTCTCTGGAGAAAGTTGAAAGTGGCTGCCAAGAAACTTGCCCTAGGCCGGACAGTCAGAGGCGAGGTCCCTGTTTGGGAAATGGGTAGCAAAATCCTAACTCGGAACAAATCTGGGTTGGTACTGTCTCGAGGGCTATGGAGATGTCCAGATCCCACATAGGGCCAGGATTCTTCTCAACATGCCCTCTGCAGCAACATGCAGACTTTGTCCAGAGCACTGACACGCAGGGTAAAGACACCTTTTCTCTAGTCTCTATAGCTTTCAGGGGGCTCCTGGGTTCCAAGCCCCTTACAGTGGGTTATAATCACTCCCTTCTATGAGGTCGTAACAGCTAACATGGTACCCTTACTTTTGTGTCAGTCAATGTTCTACTAACAACTGTGTGAGGTCAATAATGTACCCACAACCTGTGAATGCTTCAGGCACAGGACATAGTAGGTGGAAAAACAGTCTTGGAAGCAGACAACAGCTTGACCATGTATACTCTGGGAAACCTGTTTAACCTACCTAACCCCTGAGTCTCAGTGGTCCATAAAGTGGGTTAGAACACATTCACTTGGTGGAGTTGTGTTTATTCCCAGGCAGAGACATCCTCCATGCCATCCTTCACCCTTCTCGGCCTTACTCCCCTTTCCATGAAGGCTCCTGCCCATGAACAAAGTCTGCTTTCTTTTTATTCCATTCCAGGATTTTCTGGAAGCATTCCAAGTCTATAAAGTGTGGTGGTGCTGGGTTTAGAGTGGACTGGAGGCAGACGGCTGTGTGATACAGCAATGGTAATGGGGCTGGGAGAGGAGGCAGCTGGGATCAGGGACTCAAGCTGCTAGGGCTCTTCTCCAGCTGGCCTCTCTCTTGCTGGCCTCCAGCCAGAGTGAACAGGCAGCAGCTTCCTGTTACTTCTGCCTGCAAAGCATGTACTCTGCAGGGCACCCTTTGGGGACCGTATTTCCGCCAAGTACCCAAGTTTCAGCTCCCAAGCAAGTGGACATCTGAGAATACTGTGACTGGGCCTACCTTTCTGGACCCTGGAGTTCTCTGTTTAACACACTGAGCCAGTCCCTAGGTACTAAGGACCAAACAAAAATTATGTTTGTGGGGCTGGAGAGGGCCTGAGCTCAGTTCCCAGCACGTACAATGGGGGACTCTGAAGCCCTCTGACCTCTGTGTGTACCTTTATGCACATGGTACATATAAACTTATGAAAGTACATATACATATACACAATAAATGAATAAATAATTTAAAATTCCATTTCTCTTTATTATCATTTCATTTACTTTAGTGGGGTGGAGCAGAGTCTCACTATGTAGTCCTGGTCAGCAAGGAAACTGTAACCACCTATGTAACTAGGTAAACTAGGTTGACCTTTAACTTGAAATGATTCTATTGTCTCAGCCTCCCACCACAGATATGTACCAGTACACCTAGCTTATGTATTTACTTACTTGTATTTATTGTTATTGTAAATGGCACTGGAATCAAACCCCAAGCCTCGTGCACAGGAGGCTCATACTCTATCAACCTCTAAGCTACATCGCACAACAATGTCTGATTTCAAAGGACTCACACACACCTCCAGTTCCCCACACTGACAGCCTTACTGAGACAACATGGGACACTCTCTTTCCCAAAATATCTTCATTTCCGTCTCCCAACAAGGAACAGAATAAATCTCTACCACTTTCCATACCAAGGTAAATCAGAAACAAAGAAGTAGACACAAGAGGCAGCTTGTGAACTCTATCTTGCCTAATGTGGACAATAGGTCTGCATTTAGGAATTATTATCCCCATTGCATGGACAAGGAGGGAACGATGTTCACACAGAGATGGGGTAAGTTTGAACTATGCATGTCTGCTGGCCGGCTCTGCTCTTTCCAGGTTCCAGGTCGCCTCTGTCAGCTTCCAGCTCTGCTAGAGTGGGCCCTCTCTGGTGGCTGAGTTGTATGCATCACATATAGATTACCTTCAACATTTTTGTCCATGCTGCTCCAAGGGGAAACTGCCTTCTCCCATCCAGTGACAGCAGCAGCGACTGGTGCTGCCTTAAGCTCTCTTGTTAGCTGTCTCAATCACAGCCAGACCACAGCAGTTCCGGTGTAAAAGACCTGCTCCCACTGCAAAGCTGGCTGGCTCGCTATAGCCTTTCCTAGCTTTCCCTGACTCCAGCTCCTCTGGTTCCCCACTGCTGCTAGCAACTTCCCTTTTCTGCTGTCCTTGATTCTTGCACGGGACACTAGGGTAAACCCTTGAACCACGACAATGCCAGGCAGGTATGTAAGTCTCACTCCAGTCAAGTGTGCTTACATGCTTACGGCTCTGCTTTGTCAGCTGCTGTTCATAGTGCTGAGAACAGGCAAGAAAAGGGAGGACAGCACACAGAGAGTGCTTCCCTCCCAGAAGCCTAGAGTCCCAGGCTAGGACTTGGAAACAACAAACCCATGGCACGAGGCAGGCAGAGGCTAGAGGGAAACTTGGTTTTCAGTTTTAAAACTTTCAATTTGCAGGCAGAACTAAAGCCTAAGAAAGGCAATCCCGGGAACTAAGCATATCAAATAACAGCAACTAACATTTCTTAGAATTTTTCAAAAACTTTTTTTTTAAAGATTTTACTTTCAGTTTTAATTATGTGCATATGAGTTTGTACAAGTTTGTGCAGTGTCTATGAAGGCCAGAAGAGGCCTTTGTATCACCTGGAGCTGGAGTTACGGGTAGCTGTGAGTTGTTGGAAAGGATGGCTGGGGACCAAACTGGGGTTCTCTGCAAGTGCAGCCCATTTCCATCACATAACACTATGTGCTGGGTACTCCTGCCACCCCTGCTTTAATGACAAGGGAAATGTGGCAGAGAGAGTTAAATACCTTGTCTGAGTTCCCGCTAGTACAGAAGCCTGCACTGAACTTCGGACCCTTGCCACTACACTGCTGTCTGTAACTCCCAGCTTCTTAAATTGTGGAGACAATCTCATATGGGGTACAGTGACTGAATGCGGGGGTTGTGAAAAATTTGGCAGGAGTAAAAGGTTTATGAACACACAACAATAACAAATTTTTTCAAAATCAAATATGTACCGAAGCCAAGGTGTTATTGGTAGCGTTTGCCCATGTTGTATCATGTGACTTCGCTGCAGCCTTGATTCTGAACACATGACAAGGCCAATAAACACTGCCCCAAAACTCTAGGCTCAGACTCTGTAATATAAATTGGTTTCTGTTCTTTTAGAAGCATGATGCCAAAGTATGAGAACAAATACTTTTTTCTATTTTTTCTTACTGTCATGCTTCAGCAGTATGAAAGTGGTATATCGTTGGGCTGTGCTACATTGCAATGTTTGATTTTAAAAACTGCTATATGAATTGCTGATTTGGATTTTTTATGTTTTTTAAGTCATGAGATAGAACTGGCCAGATGGCTCACCGAGTAAAAGAACTTGCCACCAAGCCTAAAGACCTGAGTTTTGATCCCTGAAATAAGTGCTATATATGCCTACACACACACATCCCTAAATAAAACTTTAAACATCATTAAATGATTTTGGTTTAGGACAGAATTTCCAACAATTTTTGAAATGGTCCTAAACATACTGCTGTTTTGTACTGGGTATTTATGGGAAGTGGTGTTCTCAGCATTGATGACACTGAATATCAAACTTTCATCTGAGATTTAACTCTATATGTAAAAATACACATGCACACCCATCTCATTAGTATACAAGTCTGTTTTGTCCTTTAATAATAAAATATCATGTATAACAAGGAGTTGTTTTTAAAATAAATTTCTTTATGAACTATTGCCAGTGTTTGTCTAATTTGTATATGTACTTTATACAGTTGTACACCTGGAATCATGTGGGGTGAAGGCTCACGAGCAGTGAGAGCGTAAGAAGTCCCATGCTGCCACAAAGTGCAGTTCAGCCTGAATGGACCAGGGACAGTAAGGGACGGATTTCCTGAATGAATTACTCTTGGGTGTAATCATGAAATCCTTGGACTTACATTATCCAGAGCCAGCTAAAGGGAAGTCTCAATGAACCATGTTTGTGTCTGACTAGGACACTAGGAGTTCCCTAGTGCAGCTGTATACTTGGCAACAAGGGCAGCGAGCCAAGCCCTGTGCTTCCAAAGGCAGGGCCAGACCAAGAGGAAAAAACTTTCTAGAGTGGGTTCATTCAGAGATTCAGAAGTGTCCAACCCACTCCTCCATTTTATGTCTCATTATCTTTAAATGTCATTTTCTGAGGCAGGAGCCTTCAAAAGATACTCAATGATATAGTCTTAAATGGTCATAAAATGGGCTTCTAATACATGATTTGTTCCCCAAAATATTCTCCCTCTCTTCCTCCTTCCCCCACCTCTCTCTCTCTCACACACACACAGCCACACATACACACATGGGACATAGTCTCACTATATATCCCAGACTGGCTTGGAATTTGTGTTTAGCTTCTGGAATGCTGGGTTTACAGATGCACACCACCAAGCCTGGCTCCCCAAAGAGTCTTCTTCAATTCTGTTACATGGGTTTCATAATCAACTGTTATCAGTGTAAAAGTTACTTACTAATTACTGCCAAATTGTGCTCTGAGCCACAAGAAATCTGTAAAAGTAAAGAAAATATATGCTATTAGAAAAAATGTATAGATATCTCAGCGGCTATGTTTAGTGATCATGGTTACTTTATAATGACATACACATTAATTTTGGTAAATCTTAGAAAAATGTAGAAAGGAGCATCATATACAAAGGTTAAAATTATAATTATAACATATTCACAGCTATATAAAAAGTCAGTGTGAAAAACATTGAATAGAAATGCATCAAGATGTTAAAGTTGTCTTTTGCCAGTTGGACAACCAATATTTTCTTTCTACTTTTTACTTTTCAAACTTTCTTCTTTCTCACCTAAAATTTTAATTAGTTTTATTTATTAATTTTTTTCATTTTGTTTTATGCGTATGGGCATTTTGTCTGCACGCATGGCTGGTGCACCATACACATGCAGTAAACCACGGAGGCCAGAAGGTGGATCCCCGAGGATGGGGGCTTCACACAGTTGTGAGCTACCATGTGGGTGCCAGGAATTAACCCTGGGTCCTCTCTGTCAGTGTTCTTAATCACCAAGCCATCTCTCTAGCACCCTTCACACACATACAAAAATTTAGACAGGTCTTGTGTAGCTAAAGCCGGCCGAAACTCCAGCTTCTACCTTCCAAGTGCTGAGACTGCAGGACTGGGCTGCCATATCCAGCACTTTTTCAAAATTTCTATAATGCACACGTTACTTTAAAAACTGGGAAGACAGCACTAAAGATAACAGTTTTAAACCCTGAACTAATGACAGATCATCACTGTCATTAGTGACAGAATGAGCCAAGAAGTCAGTGGGAGCAGGTGCTTCTGCTCTGGCCCTCCCTTCCAGCCCAGACTCCCTGTGGCCTCTGAACACACTGTGCTCTCTTGTGCTTGGGTACACGCTTGTTCATCTGTCCAGAATGGCCTCTCCCTGCCACCTACACAAAAGGCTCTATTCACTCTTTACCTTGGAGCACCTTCTGAACTCCTTGGCTACAGCTGACTCAAGCACTTCTGTCATTTTGCCCATCTATCAGGCATCACATTACAGCAGGCATCTTGTCTTTTAGTATTTCTTCTGGTTTCTGCACTAGACACACGAACCCCGATAATGAAGCTGTGTCTCACCTCTGTATTGCACTTGTGAAATGTACAAAGCCTGGGGCTCAGTTAACATCTGACAAACAAGAGAATGAATAAAAGTACCAGGTATATGAAAGAAAGAAAGACTGCCCCAGAGAGAGAAAACAGTTGGTTGTACAGGGTTCTGAATCCAGTATCTCCAACCCCTGGCAGATACTTCTTCCCCTTCAGTCTCTGCATTATATACCTGATGTCAGGAAGAAGTGATGGGTGGGAAAGCATATGGCTCCATGGATGCTAATTAAGAGTTCTAGACTCTGGAGAAGCATGTGTGTATCATGAACTGTATCAGAATGCTCATTTTAACCTCAGGCCTGAGGAAGGGGTCAGGTACTCTCGATGCTGATGTGGGAAGGGCCATGCACATCAGCTACATTACTAGGATGGAGATAATAAGGCTTGTCAAGAGGAGATGATTTGTCCTGGGAGGGCAAGTCTAAATGTGAGAACTTTCATGACCACAGGAATGATTCCACAAGAGTGAGATCATCTAGCCTTTCTGTACCCGCCTTACTTCATTTAGAAGAGTATTCTTTGGGTTCATCCATATTCTAGAGCCCACTAATGACTGTAATTAATAACAGTATGTTACATTCTTGAAAAATGCTGAGTATCCTCACCTTTCCTGGGGAGCAGAAAGGGTATGGGATGGGTAGGGCGTTAGTTGGGGGGGAAGCAGGGGAGCAGGGGAGGGAGAGGGACCTGGGATTCACATGTAAAATAATTTTCTTTCTAATAAAAAAAAAACCAAACCAAACCAAACCAAAATGCTGAGTAGCAGACATTAAAGCCTGTGCTGTAAAACATTTTCTTTTAATTTGGTTTGAGAGACCCTGCTTCAATGAATAAGGTGGAAGAGCAATGGAAGATGATTCTAAATCAGCTTTAGGACTTCACATGTACACAAATACCCACATCTGTGCAAACATGAACACACACACACACACACACACACACACACACACACACACACACACACGCGCGCGCGCGCACACAGCAGACAGGGGGGGGAAA